TCAGTCGATTAAAATAGTTTGCAGAAGCTACAAAATTGCGCTCGAAAATAGAGCATCTCCCGTGTTTGTGCGGCACCGCTCACACAGCACAGCTCTGCTTGCGAAAGACGAACTACGGAGTAAGACTGCTTGCGCACCAGGGGAACAAGCATCCTGAGGGTCCCCGCCCTTTTCGTTGCACCCANGATTTAGTGCTCTCTCCAACCCGCATCAGTCGATTAAAATAGTTTGCAGAAGCTACAAAATTGCGCTCGAAAATAGAGCATCTCCCGTGTTTGTGCGGCACCGCTCACACAGCACAGCTCTGCTTGCGAAAGACGAACTACGGAGTAAGACTGCTTGCGCACCAGGGGAACAAGCATCCTGAGGGTCCCCGCCCTTTTCGTTGCACCCAGGTGTCTGTGTGTGAAGAGCATCAGTTGCTGGCATGCACAGGGCACGACTTGATGCGGCAACAGAAAATTGGGAGGGGACGCAAAGACCGAAACTCCGAAAATCCCGAACCAGAAAAAACGCCTCGTATTTTTATCACAGCAGTGTTTTTTTTTGGGGGGGGGGGTTGGAACACAGGTGGCTGGCGATTTGGTTCTCCACCTCTCCGGAATTTGCTTACGGATAAACCACCCCCAACCTTGTCGCGCCTTTCACCCCGTGCTCTCGCAGGAGTCAGACCTGGAGGACTCCGCGTCGGAGTTCCACCCCTCCGACTGCCAGGCGGACACAGACAGCGACGATGAGTGCACGCTGGACACCCACGACGACCCGCCGAGCCCCGATCTCCTGGCTAAGCCCAAGCGGAGGAAGCCGGGCCCGCCGATGCGCTTCGTCGACGACAGCCCTCGCCCGTTCACGGACAGCCCTCGCCCGGTTACCAAGGACAGCGCCGCGGGCGACGCCGAGGCCGCATCTCGCACCAGCGGCATGATCGGCGGCGCTCGGCACTCATTCCACCCCGGCGTGGGTGGGTCTTCCTCTCGCGGCGGGGGCAGGGCTTCTCATCACCGTCCTCGTCAAGCTGTTGCTCGTACATAGCAGTCAGCACCGAGTTCCGGTGCTTCCCGCCCGCCTTCCTCCGCGGCTTCGACGACTGCTCGCCCCGCGACGACGGTCCAGCGTCCCACCTCTGGCGACACGGACGGACCTGGACTCCGTGGGGAAGGCGGCCCTTCTCGCCGTGCGTCCGACCCCGGCAAGTCCGCTGCCGCCGGGGGGCTGTCGTCCCAGGGACGCGGCAGCTTCACGTCTTCCCGAGGGCGTGCCGTCGGCTACGCCTACCGCGAGGGAGCGGCACCAGCCACGGCGGGGGGAACTGCTGTCTCATCTTCGGCCCCGCCCAGCTTCACCCGGATCGGGGGAGGGTCTTCACACACGCCGGCAGGAGGCGGCGGACGTGTGAGCTCAGTGGCCATCACCTCGGACATGAGCGGCGAATCAGTGTACCAGGCACTGGTTGCTGTGGGCATCTCGCTTTTGTCCAAGGCGGCCCTCCTCGGCATTCTCATGTCCGCCGTGGCACCCTCACACGAGGAGTCACGCCAGCATGTGGTGAGCGTCTTCGTAGACTTTTTTATTTTTTTTTATTCATGCGCCTTTAATCTTGGCGCGCCATTCTTGCTATTCTTCGCGTGTTCGGGTTAGCAGGCCTGATTTCTTGTGGTACTCACGTCCTGTATCTTCACTCTGCCATTGATTCGCGTGTGATGTTGTGCCCCCTCCTCCTACTCCTCCTCGAGTTGCTTGACGTTGACACGAATAAACGGTAACCATCACCCGCTCCGCGGCACGTGTTCATACATTGTTGTGGGCACTGATCTCCCGCCCAAACGTCCGCGGCCAAATCTCCGTTTTCTGCCGAC